TGAGAGATTTGGGTAAGACTGAAGTAGTTACTCTAATGAAATATGCTCTGTTAATGCAGATTTCTACATGACACAAGGCACTGGCCACTCTCTAACAGAGAAATCCTTTTCCTCCACGGATGGGCCCTTACCGTACCATCCGCAGCAATTTTCTAAGAAAGAGCTCAGCCACTGCTGCCCTCCATGAATGGCTCAAAAAAAGGGGTAAAACGCAGGTCAGCCCCAATTGTTCTTCTATACCCGATCTACTTAAAGTGACAACTGAAGTCAGCGATGAAAAGCCGGCTTCATCTAAGTTGCCATTGACGTCAGTGCGACGAGGACTTCGCGCAACAAGTGAAGTCTTTACCCTGAAATCCAAGACAACCGCATTCAGAACCAGGCTGCTATTGAGCTGGCACTTTCCAAAGCAGAAAGCCTGTTTGCACTGAACATTGCCACAAAAAGAAAAACAAACTGATAGCATAGGAAAGATTTTCCCAAATAAACAAAAGCCACCACATAATGCCGTATCTTATAAACAGCCACAAACCAGGAAATGTTAGTTTATACAGGGGGGAACCCAAAATATGGGGAGAAAAAAGCCAGAAAACACTTCACAGAGACTATATTCCTTACATTTTCAAGCTAGTCCGTGTCTTTGTGATCCCTTTGCATCTGGCACACCTAGCATATCACTTCAGGTTCTACTCTGAATATTTTTGTGTTGGAGAAACAGGATTCTCAGCATGAAAATGCCATGTTTCCCTTGGCACCTTGTAAGGAAATTTCACAATAATAGGCAGGGTTGTAGCTGAGTTGTGGTGTCGTAGAGCAAGGACTAGCATCCAGGCCAGCGTTTGATAGTCAGTGCTTACCTATTCATCTAAAACCTGTAGTTCTCTCAGGAAACTCATGAGCAAGGCCGAAGGAATTACAGACGGGTAGGAGTTAGGTGTTTGCTCCCTACCCTTTGGCAGACCGAGCACGGTGAGAGGCAGCCACTTTGGAGAGAAATACGAACCCCCGCTGCCGAGACCTTCCCCTCCTGGTTACTTCAGCACTTCTGTAACCTCCGGCAGGGTGGCAAAAGCGAGAAATAGTCAGGTGCCCCGAGGCTTACAGATCTGATGGACCCAGAGCCACAGAGGCTGCATTGGCAATGCCCGAATCAGTGAGTTCACACCCAGCTCCAAGAGGAGAAAAGTCAGCTCATAAATGGCAAGGCAGTCAAATTGGTCAGTGTGCGGGAAATATCTGACGGACTAATTGCGAACACAAAGTTATGTCTGTTGTCAGCTTCCCTCTTCCTGCGAGTATTTTGCAATTAAGCAGAGAGTTGATTTACAAGCTTGCAGACACTGCACTAATAAATCCGTCTGTGTTGTCATCTCCCCCTGCCCGAGTTAAAAGAAGTGAGGTGTCCAGTGCCTAATACCAAGCTGGTTCTTTTGCTGCCCAGACCAAGGCAAAAAAATTAACACAATTATTACCTCTTTGAAAAGATCTTGGGGGAAAAGTTTTGATTACTCTTCACTGCCCCAGAAAGCACAACAGCAGCCCAAAGAAAAGACTGAAATAAAGCAATGCACGATCTCCAAAGACTGGGAAGAAAGGGTGGGATGGCTGTGGCACCTCTGGACTGCACCTGCTGCTCAGGGGCATCCCTGCATCCTCTGGCAGACTTTAAGGCTTGACATCTTTCCAGCCGGCTGGGAAGGGCCCCGACCACTCACGGCTTTGCATAACATGCAGGGCTTTTTGCTTTTCAGCTAACAACTAAATCCACAGTGAAATTACTGTGTGCTTGGCAGAGAAACGCAGGCGCTAAAACTAAATGTGAACTTATCCTTAGATGCAGAAGACAAAGGATTTTATGTCCCAGTTTCCACCAGCATCTTTCAGGCTGAGGAACTTCAAGGACACTTGGGCTGGGCTAAATTTAACCTCCAAATTCTGGCGTCTAAACGACAGTCCGTTCCTGTATGAGTCGCCACTGCTGGCTCCCCGCCCCTGCTGGGCTCCCCGCTCAGTGAAGCCGGCTGAACGGACAGCTCCGGCCAGGGGCAGGGAGAGCGGCCGGGGCACGGAACCCGACGCCGCAGCCCGTTCGTGCACCCTGCAGGCTGCCGGCTGCCGGGCGGTGCCGTGCCGTGCCGTGCCAACCTGGCGGGTCACAGGCAGGGAAGAGGGCGAGCAGCGGCTGCCCGAGGATGTGCAGGGAGGAGAGAAAGATGCGTGACGGCGTGTGAATCACGTTTCTCCGGCCCGACGGCTGCCGGCGGGAGATAAAAGCACCGGCGGACAACGGGCCCGCACAGCCGCCTCCCGCAGCGCCGCCGCCGCCAGCGCTCGCCATGAGCCCGCACCTCCGCCTCCGCCTCCTCCTCCTCCTCCGCCAGGGACTCCACGTAGAAGACGGTGCGGGGCGGCGGCGGCCCCGGCCCGTGCCCGTG